GGGAGGGGACCTGTCCCCGAGGGGGGACATCTCTGGCCAGCTCAGGGAGGGACACCAGTGCCAGGGCTGGGTTATCCCCTGTCCCCAGGGTGTGACATCTCTGGCCAACTCAGGGACAGGTGACACCGGTCAAAGGAAGGGGACCAAGAGCAGAGCACCCCCGACCCACGGGGGGACATCTCCCGCTGGCTCAGGGGGGTGACACCATTCCCAGGGCTGGAGCACCACTTGATCCATGGGGTGACATCTCTGGCCAGCTCAGGGGGGGTGACACCAGTACCCAGGGAGGGGACCAAGGGTTGGGGCATTCCCTGACCCATGGAGGGACATCTCTGGCTCAGGGGGGTGACACCATTCCCAGGGCTGGAGCATTCCCATTCCCGTGAGGAGACACCTCCAGCTGGCTCGGGGGGGGGACACCATGTCCCCCATTCCCAAGGGGTGACACCTCTGTCCAGCTCAGGGACAGGTGACACCAGTCCCAGGGCTGGAGCATCCCCATTCCCGGGGGGGACATCTCTGGCTCAGGGGGGTGACACCGATCCCCGGGCTGGCACAGGGCTCGGGTCGCTCGTCCCCGGGGCTGGGCTCGGTCCCCCCTGACTGGCCCTGTCCCGCAGGCCGGGGGGACGCTCCTGGCCGCCCTGGGGCTCTGGGTGGCCGCGGACCCGGGCGGGTTCCAGGCGCTCGTGGGCGCCCGGGCCGTGCTGGGCGCGGCCGCGTGGCTCCTGCTCGCCCTCGGCATCGCCCTGGCCCTGCTCGGCTGCCTCGGCTGCTGCGGGGCCCTGCGGAGGAGCCGCCCCCTCCTGCTGCTGGTGAGGGGACACGGCGGGGAGGGGGGTGGGATGTGGGGAGGGGCTGCGGGGCAGGGGAGGGGGTGTGAGGGGTGGGGAGAGACTGGGGGGTTCAGGAGCTTGGGGGATGCAGGAGATGGGATGAAGGGTTGGGGATGGAGGGATTGGGTTGCAGGAGATGGGATGGAGGGTTGGGGATACAGGAGATGGGATGGAGGGTTGGAGATGGAGGGATTGGGGTGCAGGAGATGGGATGGAGGGATTGGGGTGCAGGAGATGGGATGGAGGGATTGGGGTGCAGGAGGGTGCTGGGGGATCCAGGTGTCCCTGCAGGAGCCAGAAGCTGCTGTTCCTCCCCCTCCACACCCCCCACAACCCTCCCCCCTCTCTACTCAGAGCCCAGAGGATTCCCAAAGCCACCAAGTGGGTCCCTTCTCCCTGAAGCCCTGGCTTGTCCCTCATGGCATTCCCAAGCCATTCCCACGGATGCTGAGGGGCAGAACCCCCTTTCTGAGCACCCTCACCCCAATTCCTGCAGCACCCCCAGCCCCTGGCACCCAGGGCTTGTTTCCCCCCACACACGTTGGTGGTGTCCCCTGTCCCCCCCGGGCAGGGGCACAGGGCACGGGAGGGCAGGGACAGCCCGAGGGAGCTGCCCAGGGCTCGGGGGGTCTCTGACTCCTTCACCCGCCCCCCCAGTTCTTCATCCTCGTCAGCCTCGTCTTCCTCATGCAGCTGGTGGGGGCCATTATCTTCCTGGTGCACTGGAAGCAGGTACTGTCCCCACGGCCTGGCATTGTCCCCATGCCCTGGCACTGTCCCCTCGGCCTGGCACTGTCCCCATGGCCTGGCATTGTCCCCAGTGCCACCAGCCTCCCTCTGACCCCCAGGGCTCCCCCAGGGGACAGGGACTGGTGCAGGGTCCTTCTCCCTCTCCCCTCCCTTCCCCCCCCCCAGTTTCGGGGGTCCCACGGGTGGGTGGGGAGCGGCCCCACCCCCGGCACTGATCCCACAGGTCCGGCCCGAGCGCTTCCTGTCGGAGCTGAGGAGGAACTACCGCGGGGACGAGGGTGCTGAGGTGTTCAGCACCGCCTGGAACACCCTCATGGTCACGGTGAGCGCCTGGGGGGCTCCTGGTGCACCCCTGGAACACCTCCATGGGCATGGTGAGTGCCCGGGGGGCTCCCAGTCCACCCCTTGGACCACCCTGACGGTCCCAGTGAGCCCCGGGAGGCTCCTGGTGTGCTGAGGGAGGTGTGGAGCACCCACAGGACCTGCCCAGGGTGCCCCAAAGGTGGGTGAGGGGCTCAGGAACCCCAGCCATGACCCCCAGGCTGGGCTGTCCCCCCTCCCTTGGTCACTCCCCATGTTGTTGCCCCATTGATGGTGTTTGTTCCCCTGTTGTCCCCTCTGTTGTCACCCCCTTGGTGGTGTCCCCCCCGTTGTCTCCCCGCTGAGGGTGTCCCCTCCCGTCCCAGTTCTCCTGCTGTGGCGTCCTGGGCCCCGAGGACTTCGGGAACGGCTCCCGATTCCAGGAGCTGCACCCGGGGGTGCCGTGGCCACGGGCCTGCTGTGCCCGGGACGGGCTCCTGGGGGACCTACTGGGCTGGGAGCAGTGCCAGGACAGGAGCCCCGGCTACATCCACGAGCAGGTGGGACACCCCCGCCCTCCCCTGTCCTCGGCTGTGTCCCTGTGCCACCCTCCCAGCCCCTGGGGCACTGCCTGTCCATGGCTCCGTGTCCCAGTGCCCCCCAGTGCCCCTCCATGTCCCTGTGCCACCCCTTCCAGCAGACACTGCCCGTCCATGGCTCTGTGTCCCAGAGCCTCCTCTGAGCTCCCCCAGCCTCCCCCTGCTCCACGTCCCTGTGCCACCCCTCCCAGCCCCTGGGACACTGCCCGTCCATGGCTCTGCATCCCAGTGCCCTCCTGAGCCCCCCCTGAGCCCCCCAGTACCCCTGAGCCCCCCCCAGCCTCTCGGTGCCCCCAGGGCTGCTTCTCCACCTTCGGCAGGACCCTGCAGAGGTCCCTGTCCCTGCCCGGCTCCTGCAGCCTGGCCGTGCTGGGCATCGAGGTGAGCGGGGGCTGGGGAGGGGGGAGCTCAGGGAGGGGGCTGGGGAGGGGTCTGTGTGCCACGGGGGGGCATGGGGGAGGCTGGGAAGGGGGCTCTGTGCTGGGGGGGCTAGGGAGGGATCTGTGTGCCAGGGGGGCACGGGGGAGGCTGGGGAAGGGTCTGTGTGCCAGGGGGGCACGGGGAGGGGGCTGTGAAGGGGTCTGTGTTTTGTGCCCCCAGGCCCTGGTTTGGGGGGTCTTGCAGCCCCCCCAAGCAGCCCCAGCACCGCTGGCACGGAGCCTGCAGGGCCCAGCCCCGGGCAGGGACCCCCCGAGCAGGGACCCCCAGCCCTGGACAGGGACCCCCAGCCCCGGGCAGGGATCCCCAGACAGGGACCCCCAGCCCTGGACAGGGATCCCGGGACAGGGACCCCCAGGGCAGCCCTGCCGGGGTCTCACCCATCACCCCTCCCTGCTCCCAGACCTTTGCCATGTTCTTCTCCCTCTGCCTCTACTACAACTTCGACTGATGGGACATGGACGCGCTGGGAGCTCGGGAGCAGCCGAGGACAGGCCTGTCCTGGCTCAGCAGAGCTCTGCTCCAGCCCTGAGCCCTTCCCAGCCTCTGGAAATTCGGGAGCAGCCAGGGACAGGCCTGTCCTGACTGGGAAGAGCTCTGAGCCCTTCCCAGCCTCTGGAAATTCGGGAGCAGCCAAGGACAGGCCCGTCCTGGCTGGGAAGAGCTCTGCTCCAGCCCCGAGCCCTTCCCAGCCTCACCCAGTCCTGTCCCTGCTCCAGGGATGGGTCTGTTTTGGGCTTTTCTGGGAGCAGGGACAGGACAGGGGGGAAATTCCCTGCAGGGAATTTGCAGGGAAAGAGGCTGAGCATCCAAGCTGCTCCTGCTGGGATCTGCCATCAGCTCTCCCCCCTCTGGATCCCCCCACACTCATCCCAATGCTCCCAGGCTCCTCATCCTGACATCCTGCTCTCTCCTCCACATCCACCCATTCCCAGACCCCCAGGAATCCTCTGGATTGTCCTCCTCCCCCTGGGCCAGGGCTTGTCCCTGGGGACACCTCCTGGGGCCACCAGAGAGCAGAGTCACCATCCAGGTCACCCCAAATGGCCCCAACTGGAGCCCAAGAGTCACTCCAGAGAGCAAGGCTCTCCAGAGAGCCACTCCAGAGAGCAATTTCAGAGAATTGCAAGGCTGGAGTCATTAAACTTCCATGGAAAACTGAACCTTCCCCAGGGAAGGATTCCCACCAGCTGGTTCAGATCCAGCTCCTGCTCTCAGGTTGGAAACAGGAACTGAACTCCCTGGTGCTGTTCCCACTTCTCTGAAAGCTGGGAAGGGGAAGAGCTGCTTCCAGTTTTCTTTGGAACATCCCAAAAACTCCACTCAACAAAAGGGGAAAACAGATATAAATTAAAGGTTTATATTTTATTAATACAATGCAAAGTTTTCACAAAAAGAAAACCCCAAACAAACGCGGAAACAGAAAAACCCAAACTGCTGCAGCCCTTTACAGGCAGGATACCTCGTACCTGTGTGAGGGAAGGGGATGGGGACAATCCCAAGGGAACAAAACCCCCTCAGGAATCTGGGCAGGATTTCTTCTCCTTCCTGCTGATGTTGCTCCCTTTCCTTTTCTGCCCAGAGGACTCACTGCTGGGGCTCCTTTCCCCCTGGGTGCTTTTCTCTTCCAAAGGCTCGGGAGCCTGTGATGACCCAAGCAATAAAAGCAAAGAGCTGTGAATAATTGGATTTTCCAGCCCTTGGAATGCCCTGTGCTCCACCAAGGTCGTTATCCGGGGATTTGTAGGACCGGGGATGGCAGGGGAGCAGGATAACGATGGAGCACAGCAGTGCCACGATGCTCCAGGGATCTCTTCATCCCATACCCTTCCAACCACCACAGTTCCCTTGGGAATGGGCTCAGGGCTGGAATGCTGAGCACAGCTCCCAGGATTCCCACAGGGAAGACACCCCCCTCCCACAAAGGGTGTTCTCCAAATCAGAGGCAAAGAGGGAAAGCCCCCCCAGGTGAGGGAAGGCCCAGAGGGAACTGATTTTTGGGAAGCTTTGGATCTGCTGGAGTGGGATTTATTTTTTCATGTGATGGTGACAGAAAGAGGGAAGAGGAGGAGTGAGGAAGGCTGCATTCCCAAGGGAATATTGAGTGGAAGAGCAGGTGGGGAAGAGCTGCAGGACACAGAGCAGAGCTGAGGAAGAAGAGGATCCCCAGGGAAGGGTTTTCGTCCATCCCTCCCCCTCCTCATTAGTGAGGGAGCACATTTAATTGGGAAGGGAGAACGTAATGAGCTTAACACAGAGCATAATGAAATTAATGAAATTAATGAAAGAATGATGAAATTAAACACAGAGGCAAAGCCCACGAGAGGCAGAGCAGCAGGGGAGGCCAGAGCCAGACCCACAGACTCAGTTTGGGGAGGGAAATGGGGCAGGAGGGGCTGGGCCTCACCCTGCCCTGCCCCGCGTGTCTCTCCGTCCACTCCCGGGCCCGGAGCAGGAACAGCTGCTTGTTGTACTTGTACTCTGAGGACTGAAGGGGAAGAGCAAGACAAAGCCAGGCTTAACACAGCACGCCAAGCTGGGACTTAGGCCTGGCTTTAGGGCACCTAAGCCAGCCCACACCCAAAGCATCAGATCCCTTGGGTTTGCCTGAAGAACTCGAGCTGCCGTTTTGCCCCGAAGGCAAAGCCTGAAGGCGAGACCTTGGCCAGCTCTTGTGGCCCCAGGGATGCCCCTGATCCACTGCCAGGGTGGTCATCCAAAGCTCAGCCTAAACCCAGCCTAACCCCCCTGCCCTGCCCAGGGGGGGACTCACGATGTCAGCCATGAGAGGGTCGTCGGGGTTGGGCTCTGCCATCAGCAGCTGGATGGAGCTCAGCAGGGTGGAGATGCTCAGCGAGGGCCTCCAGGTGCCCTGTGGGGAGAGGAGCCCGGCCTGAGCCCTCAGCCCCCACAGAAACA